TAGTAGCGATGCCAGGAGCCCCTAGTAGCCTTGCTCCTAGTAGCGATACGAGGTGCCCCTAGTAGCGTCCTTGCTCCTAGTAGCAAGGCCAGGAGCTAGCGATTGGTGAGAAACCCTAGACCCCTCCAGAAGATGAGGGTCCGACCCCTGCATATGAGGGTCCAGGGTTGCGTCTGGGCACCAAAGAGTGGCGTTGCTGGCCTCAAAGGTCGTCCACTCTAGATGGTCGCCGCCAGCCCAATGTTTGTGACTGCGATGAGCTGGTATTTCCCACAAAGGTTCCAAATCAACAAAAACGCCGCTGTAGAACATCAACTGCATTTAAAAGAAGAAGAAAGGAGACTCAGTAGTTACTCTGTCTACTCGTGTGTCAGCAGCCACCACAAGTGCCCGTTTCTGACAGATCGGCGTTGAGCCCCACATTTTCTTCAGCCCGGCGCTTTGGGGCTGGGAGCTGGCCCTTTTGCTACTAGGAACAAGAAGCTACTAGGGGCTCCTGGCCTTACTACTAGGAGCAAGGACGCTACTAGGAGCTCCTGGCCTTGCAGACTGCGGGGTTGGGAGCTGGCCCTTTTGTTCGCAGACTGTGGGGCCCTCCCATTTTTGCTTTCATGCCGTCGCCGCTTGCTCCACCCCTGCTTTTCCCCTCCGAGTGATTACCTGTAGGCCACCCATTTAGAGGGAGTCCTGCTCAGATGTCCACGGCTTTCATGAAGGTGCTAGACATGTGTGATTAGCTGCATTTGAGATGTGTTTAATGTGTTGGAAACAAGAGCCATGATATTTACATGGCACCTGCAAACACCGTGGAGTGCCAGATCAAAGATGTTTTTTTGTGCACATAAACTCGTCAAACTACCGGCATTGAGTTCTTTTGTCAGACACGGTTTAAGAATATTGATATTCGGGGGAGCACTGCAAGATGCTGCAAGTGAAAGTATAGCAGGATGCCAGATCACCGGCCGCAAAAGGAGTCATCACGTATCAGAGACAGGATGACACATGAATGGAAAGCCAGCAAAACAGAAATAGTGCGCACCTAGGAAAGTACAAGCACAAACACTCCTACCTCAATCTATAGAAATTCGTTTGAGAGTTGATCACAAATCACAGCCAGAACCGCAACTCACCAGCGTCGGAGCAGCAACAGCAGCGCAATTTGAAGAAATCCGCCCGCACTGAAGGTGTCGAGGCGTGGCTCGAACAAACCGTAAGAAATCTGGAGGATCCTGAGCGTTAGCTTGGGGGGTTCATGCGCGGGAAATGCTGTGTTTTGCAGTGTGTTTGGAAGATTGATAATAAAAAAATGATAGGGTTTTGGACCACACGTTGGCGATGCCGGTTACGCAGGCCGGGTGCGATTGCGTTATCGACATCGCTGACGTATGTGTAACCCGGGAACACTGCATTATTGGCATCGTGGGTGTGTTCGTCCGTGTGTCCTGCCCGACCGAGACATAGACTGACAGACAGACCGAGACAGATAGACGGAGACAGACCGAGACATACCGAGACAGACACACCGAGGCAGAACCCTCAGTGAAGGGGCTGGTGATTAGATAGGATAGATAGGGCTATAGCGAAACGCTTCTTCACGCTTGAGCCCGGTTAACATTTCCCCCAACTCCGAGAGCACAAGTTGATAGTTCCCGGCTCCGCGCAGGTTGCTGCCGAGCCAGTAGGGTGCTAATGACACACTTTTCCCATGTATGTTTGCATGTATGTATGTCTGTATGCATGGATGGATGGGTGTCCATGTCTGTATGTGTGTGTGTGTCTGTTTTCCCTTTACTCTGTGCGGGCGGCTTCGACCGCGAAGCGGTGTGAATACAACACCATCAACACAAGCACAACTTCCAATGCCACCAATGCACCTTGCAAAAATTCACACATGGGAACATGAGAGCCATTTAAGCTTTTTAAGCCTTCGCACATAGGAGTGCAACACCACCCCCGGCTCTATCTCAAACTATGATATAATATGTGTCTTTTGCTTCGCCTTCACTTCCCGCTGTATACAGAGCAAAATCAAGTCCACTTTGTTGCAACATATTTCAGATTTGTGGTTTGCCCCGTAGGCTGTCAGTATAGATTGAACTTTGAACGTGTAAAATGTTTTGTGCTGTACAATACCAAGCCCAACATGTACCAGTCCACATTGATTTATCTTCGTGGCACAAGCCACTCTAATCGCTTCGGGACGAAGAAAACGCATTACACCATGTTTTTGTTCTTTGCACTGTCAAAAAAATTCTCCATGCTGGAAGCTATTGTGGTGCAGGATTCTCCGGAGCCTTCAATTTCCTTTATGTACCATTGTGCTTCAAAGAGAAAACATGTCTATGCTATGCCTTTGTCAATTTCGTGGACGAGAGATCCTTGGAGAGATTCTGGCAGAGGTTTCATGGCTTCCGAGACTGGGGTGTTCCTTCTGGCCATATTGGAGAAGTGTGCCCCTGCGAGAGGCACCAGGGCTTAGATGACATCATTCACTACTACCGCAACAACAGCGTGATGCATCCGAGCGTGCCTGATGAGTGCAAACCAATTTTGCTTGTAGGAGCACGACGAGTTCCCTTTCCTTCACCAGCAAAGAAGATCAAGATGCCCAAGAAGATGAGAAGCGAGGAAAGAAGTGCGGAGAGCATCATCGCGACAGAGCGGCCTCGAGGCCATTTCTCGATAGAAGCTGATCTGTCGAGCCCATCCACTCAGAAAAGCACATGTTCAAAAGTATCATAGTCTGTACACGATCATCAATTCATCAACAGCTACCTGCTATGTGGTAGTTCCCAGGTCCTTTAGCAGATTGGGATTTCATGGCACAGTTTGGGTCGTCCTGTGTTGTCCTGCTCCTCTCTTTGGGTGGAGAGATCGACTGTCATTGGTGGTACAGATATGAAGAAATACATAGAAATACCAAAACACAAGGCCCACAGCAACGAGCCGTTTGGTAGTGCAGATGCAACATAAGAGAGATGAACAATGCACCCCCAGCTTTTTGCGTCTTGGTCCACATGCTTTTGAACAACTCTCAGCACAAGGCAAAAGCCGTTGCAAGCTGAGACGAATTGTGTTTTGCTTCTCGGCAAAGCCGACCTTACCTACATTGTGTTCTTCCCACCATGTGGGCGCCCGTGAGTTTCGCCGTTCTAATCCGAAGTCGGTTCGGTGCGCCAAGAAAATTCCAAGAATGTGGGTTGTTGGTCATTTGGTGTGACGGCCGTTGGTTCCGAATGAGGAAATGTGATTGTCCGGTCTGGGGCCGATGGCGCTACGTCGTCATAGGTCACCAGCCTGGCCATTGCCTGGTGGTCGCAATCTCAGCATCTTCGGCTGAGTGCCATGATGGTCTACCAGTCGCCTTCCGATGGTTGATGTTTTTCTTGCAGATGGTTTTCTCGTATCGTCGTGTTTTCTGAGGGTTTCTCAGTCAATCTCAATGCTGTGGTCGACCTTGGGACGCTGCTGACTTCAGCAGTGTTGCATGTGTCGTTTCTATCCGTGCTCCGTCAATCGCCAATGTGACTGCTCGAATCCAGAGATATCACCTCAGTTTCTGGTGCTTTCTTCCGACGCTTCCTGCCGTTTTTGCGCGATTTTCGATGGTGTTCAGATGCAGGATGCGACGGAGATCCCGCAACAGAGTTCCAAGCCGGTGAGTCTCCATGAGTCCCTGAAAAATACTGGGCGCCATGTGAGGGGGCTAAGCCATGATAATGTTCGATCTTAATTATAGTAAAAAGACGTAAAAAGAGCCCCCC